CTTCAAATGATCAAAACAGGATTAACACCTAAAGTGTCTGATTAAATGCAACAAACAATGTATGTGAAAGCAAAAGCAATTTAGGCATTAGCTATTTATATTTCTGCAATTTAATTTTTAATCTCAGATTTTTACATACTCTATTTAGCTAAAATTTATGTTTTCTGGTTGCAAATCAGCAAGGCAAGGATTACAGGTTTTTATATCAGAACTTAATTAATGACACCTTCCCCCTCTATTTGATTACCCAATGTTTTAGTTTTTGCTGACAGTTTTAATTATCCCACAAAACTCAATGAAACAGTAATAGGACACAAATTCCTAACCATTCCTGAATTCTATTTTCAAGTATTCTCCTATATCAAGTAGTATTTGAAACAATTCCCAGCAGTGAATCAAAAAATACATACACTAGCTTCTTTTTAAGATTAAAAAATATTGTTTGAATAAAATCCTAATAGTGTAGGTTATATTTCAATATATTACAATGTATTTTCATGAGGCATCCTAACACCAACTTCAACAAGAAGCAAGAAAACATTTTAGAGTTATGGTTTACAAATTGTGGGCTTTAAGACCCCGGGGACGTTCAAACTTCTTACACGAGATCACAAATTCAAGTATGCCAATCACGGCTTGTAGACAGAATGAGCATCACTACAACTTTTCAGATGTTTAGAACTGTAAATTCATTTGGAAGCATTTTGTTTCACTGGAAAGTTTTTTGATTTTTTTTAATATTGTCTCAGTAAATAGAAATTAAATTAAAGCATAATCAATAATGTGGGGAGTTCATAAAAGTATTCTGAAGACAAAACACTCATTTTTTGAAAAATCGGGATCTACTAGTTTAGATGTTAACTGCAAGGGAAGTCTTTATCCATAGTAAACTATGTACTCTATGGGACAGAACTTGCCTGTAGAGTTGTATTCAATTCTGTGCACCAAAATCTCAGGGTGAAACAAATTACAATATGTGTACGACTGTAAAAGAGATGGTAAGAACATTTAGACTTCACAAGGTGGAAAAGCATTTAGCCTAGAAAAGGGGAATTTAGGGAGAACTTTTTAAATGTAAGTACTTGAAGAATTAACAGGTAGATTAGAGGGATCAGAGGTCAAACTCACATTGTATTACTTAAAATGGCAGAATTCAGACATGTCAGAGAAGTAAATTTTGGCTTAATTATTAAAAAAAAACCACCCAAACTCACTGCCATCGAGTCGATTCCAACTCACAGTGAACCCCATTTGGCTATACATCATCATGGAAGTAGACTGCCCTATCTTCCTTCCACGGAGCGTCTGGTGGGTTTGAACCACTGAGCTGCTAGTCAGCAGCCAAATGCCTTATCTACTATAATACCAGAGCTCCTTGGCTTAATATAAAGTAAGTTCTAAATATTCAAAGTCACCCTACAATAGAATAGGTTACTTTAGAAAACATTCTGTGCAAGTATCCCAACAAAAGTCAAGCTAATTAACTGGCTTAACATAGTATACAAAAACTGCTCTACATCCTACTTTAGTGAGTAGCAACTGGGGTCTTAACAACTTGCAAGCAGCCATCTGGATGCAACAAAGAGTCTCTCCTTGTCCAGAGCGAAGAATGAGGAAAACCAAAGATGCATAGAAACAATTAGGCCAAAGGACTAGTGGATCATGTGAACCTCAGCCTGTATGACTATCGGCCTGGAAGAACTAGATGGTGCCTGGCTACCATGGTTAACCTTGATCAGTGGGATCAGTGAAAGGGATCAGTGTAGGAGATCCTAGATAGAGTGGGAAAACAAAGTCAAACAAAACTCAAAAAAGACCAGGTTTACTGGTCTGGTAAGAGCCTGGTGAGACCCCCAAGACCATGGCCCCTAGTTGCTATTCAGGTTCCGAACTGAACTCACTCCCACTGCTTCCAACCAAACAACTGGCATATAGGGTGAATATTTACATCAGGAAGATAAGATACACTGCTTAGAAAAGGAGTGTATCTCATGAGAGAAAAGAAGGGCAGTATTTGCACGGGGAGACAGCGCAGGAGGCAGGAATACACAGGGAAAAAGGACACAGGGAAGAAGTAACTACAGGAAAGAAGTCAAACAAAGCTGTTATATTGTGGTGAATTGCAGTCAATGTGTATGAACTCATGTAGGGAAAATGAATTTTCTCTGTAAACTTTCACCCAAATCACAATTAAAAAACAAAAAAATCAAGCTAAGGTTGTAAGGGAAAAAGAAATGTGTGTGTGCACAAAAACTAAATAAGCTCAACAGCCTTTCCTACCTTTAAGGGGGATTGAGATGACCCTGATAGTTCTTGTGCTTTCATGTTTACCGTTTAATTTTCACAATAATCCTGTGTCATATTTAAAGATTAAGGAAACTGAGGGGGAAAAGAAAAAAAAAACAAATTCACTGCCATCTAGCAGGATCCGACCCACAGCAACCCCCTTTGGGTTTCCAAGGCGGTATCACTACAGAAGTAGATCGCCAAACTTCCTTCGGAGGATGGCTGGTGGGTTTGAACCACCAGCCTTCTGGTCAGCAGTCAAATGCTTTAGGCACTATACCACCAGAGCTCCCAAGGAAACTGAGGGAAAGAGTTAATCTTAACTTAATCATGGTCACATAGTGGTAAGTGGCAGAGTTGGTTTTAAATCCTTATTTCCAACTCAATGTGGGTTCTTTCGTGTATCAGTGGATCTCAACGTTGAGTCACAGTAGAATTATCTTAGGGCTTTTGAAAATTCAAGCACAATTAATCTAAGCCCTTAGTGGAAGAACTCTTCAAGTGTCCAACTGATTCCAACGTGCAGCAATGGTTAAGACCCACTGCTCCATAACGAGGGTTAGCAATAAAGTTTTATTGGAACACATTCACATTCACCTGTTTACATATCATCCATGGCTGCTTTCACAATCCAATGAGAGCTGAAAAGCTGACTAACAAACAGTAATAATGTGTTACATCCTGCTTGATATCAGGAAACTTCCTAACCACTGTGCTCATAAGATCCATTTTTCTGCCACCGAATGAGGTTGGTTTTGGAGGCACTGAAAAGTTGCAAAAAGTTTTTAATAGTGGGAACACAGCATATCACTGATAACCCACTGCCGTCGAGTCGAATTCAACTCATAGTGGCCCCTCCTTGGGTTACTGAGACAGTATCGCTACGGAAGTAGACTGCCTAACTTTCCTTCTGAAGAGTGGCTGATGAGTTTGAACCGTCACCCTTTTTCTGGTTAGCAGTCAAATGCCTCAGGCACTACACCACCAGAGCTCCCCCATCACTGATACAACTACCAATCTATGAATTAAGCAAGTTTCATCATAAATGAAAGCAATACCAATTATGTAAGAATACAATTCTTTTTCTAAAACATAAAAATTGAAAATATGTTAGATAATCCACAATCACTATAAGAAGGGCCTAGTCCATCAGTACAGCCACAGCTAGGGGTGTTTGCTAAGGTAATTACCACTAATAATGTATTTTTAAAAGTATATATTGTGGTGGAGATGTTAATGGGTTTTTTTTTTCCTTTGAATTACTCCAATTACATGTGCCATTTATTTTAAGAATGGGGTTAGCTCTGATTAGTTTTGCCAATCAAATACTAACCATAAGATCATCTTATTCCTTAAAGGAAAAATGTAAATCTGTCTGTAAATATACATATTCAAAAACTATAAATTTGCCATTATACTGTGAACAGTATCAATCCATACAGCAGAAAGAATTTTGAGATTTTGAAAACTCCTTCAAGGTCTTCTATGTTAGTAATTAAGCAACATACTACCAAGAAGCTCTATCTACTCCAAATGCTTTAAAGAAACTGCCATAAGGATTTTATTATTAAAAACTTGGTAAGTTTAAGAACGTATGCAAAATGTCAGCAAAGGAGAGTCCATCATACTCATACGCTGATTTTCAAGTAAGTATGTTATTGCCAGTAAAGCCAAAGGAATCATTTCATAAGATCACTAAGGCTTTTTGCCCTATGGAGACTAAAATCAATGTTTCCTTTAAACAGGAAGTACCGCATCCCCATCATGTGAAATCAGACAATGAATACTTATAGTCTTTTGGGGCAAAACAAGCATTAAATCATCTATGACAGTGGTGGACAAGCCTGGGGTATACATAGGAAACCTCAAACCACTGAGCTGCTTTTTCAAATAATATAAAATTAGGCACAGATTAAACTAAAGGTAAAGGAAGCTCAAAAATCCAATCTTTCTACATATACTCTTCAACAATGGTCTTCCAACTCACTGTAAAAAATATCCACATACCACAAACGTGTTACACTAAGATTTGTACATAGAAATTCCTTAGAAGATATATTGTTAAGTCTCAGAGGGGAGGGCTCTCTCTCATCTATTAATGCAAATGAGACTGAAAATAAAGAGTGACAGTAGGACAAACTTAAAATAACCCAGCTTCTGCAACATTTCTGTTGAAAAAGACAGCAGCAGCTCTAAATATATTAGAATAATCCCATTATAATTTGCAAAATTATAAAACACTGAAAAATGTTCAAACAGGAAAAACTGAGAGTAAAGAATATTACCTAGGCATTAAAAACTTCTAAACTGACATGAACTGATTGTGTAACCTATTACAAACTAAAGAGTTTATCCAAAGGAAAAAAAAAAGCAAAGTTAAAGAACAGTACATGCAGTAGAGTCCATTCCATACAGCAACATATGCAACATCTGGATATTATATTAACATATCCTTTGGAAAACCCACTACCATATGTCTAGAGAAAAATCAAACACACCAACAACATTACATGCTTATTTGCTTGAGTCTACCATTTCTTCTATTGTAAATATGCAAATTTAGCACGGTATGTATTACTTTTATAATTTTTTATGAAATAATGAAAAAAAATCAATTTAAAATATACTTAAAAATATATTTTAACATGATATCCAATGAGACTTAGAATGAAGCAGCTTCAAAATTAAGGTAGCTTTGTATATACAATATTTACCTGGTTCTTCCTTGATGAACGACAGATCTTCTTCTGGATAGGCAACAGGTGGCTGCATCACTGAGCAATCGTCTAAATTTGTTTCATTATTAGGTGGTACATTATAAATAAATCGCTTTGCAGTTTGGTTTTTCCTCCTTGTTTTGCCAGTCTCTTGAATACCCTGGGAGCCCATATCATTCCAAATAAACACTTTTGTTTGACCTTGAGATTCATTTTCAGCCAATTCAGGAGAACCATCCTGGACCCAATTACTGTCATTCATTTGGTAGTTATCTATTTGGCCCTCGTCGACATTACAACCATCATTTTCAATTTTCACATTACTTGCCAAGTTGGTGAGATTCCGTGTAGCCCAAAAGCTGGCAATTTTTTGATCCCGTGATGAAGACAGACCATCTCTATTAATTGGCTTTCTATTATTATAGTCCACAACTACAGACTCCGGAGCTTCCGATTTAATGCTTATATTTAAGGCATCTTTAATGAAATTTCGACAAGTTTGAACAACTTCACTCATCTGAAGATAGCTGGCCACTGTCATCACTTCAATGGCATTTTGGCTTGTGAGCACCAGGTTACCAGAATACAAGAAGTCCAAGATGACTGAAAAACCTTGAACTGCAGCAATATCTAAATGGGTAGTATTGTTTTGGTTAGGGCTTTCTTTGTTTGAAAAGCAATACAAAGTCTTAAAGAAACGGCTGCCTGCAACCAGGATGTTCTTATGAGCTTTAAAGATTTTTCCACTCACCACAATGCTGACATCACAAAGAATACCTTTCTTTCTCTGTTCATTTAGTTGTCGAAGTAGTTGATAGCAATAAGAGTTCTCATTTGGCCTACTATTAAAGTCACAGTACCCCTCCTCTGATGGTATTTCTGACTCCTGTAATTGGATGGAAAACATCAACATTAAATTTTATTTACCTTTTAAAGTCCTTAAACCAAGGAAAGTATCATCATCATCATTTTTAAAAAAGGAATAATCAGATACACTAATTTAAAATCCACTGCCAATTAGTCAACTCTGACTCATAGCAATCCTATAGAGTAGCCCCACAGGGTTTCTAAGGTTGTAATCTTTACGGATGTAGAATGTCACATATTTCTCCCACCGATGCAGACTGTGACATCTCTCCTACGGAATGGGTGGTGAGTTTGAACCACTGACCTTTCAGTTCACAACCAATCACTTTAACTACTGTGCCACCAGGGCTTCTTTATTAATTTGTTAGTATTCATTATACACTTTGAGACCAAACTGTTTATCATTACAAATATTGAGAGGGACAGAATGAACAGCTCAGAATGGTACAACTCATTGCTAGTAGAAGAAAAAAAAAGCAAACAGATTAAAGATCAGCAGGATTTCATTTAAAGATCATCATACTGCTAGTCAAGGATAGTGACTAAGAATTATGTAAAATTAAAATAGCAATTACTTTCTAAATAATTAAAACTCATCTGTAGGAATCAACTTAGTTGTCCTTATCTCCTTAGGTGATGGGAATGCGTCCACCTCCTCTCTGAAACTACCAAGTTACAATATGCTGGGCACTATTTAACTAGAGATAAACTAAGGTAAGACTCTAATGGGAAAATTTGTTTCAACTACAGGAATAATCAGCAATTTAAGTTAGCAGTCATTCTAATACGATCAGAATTTTCCATAACATGGTTAGTAAGGATTCCAGGTGAAATCAAGGCAAACCTAAGTGGGAACTGAGTTTCAATATCCTCTAGTATCACACTCTATTTGGTTATTCTTTAAAATATCATCTTTAGAAAGACAATTTCAATAGTGAAGTAAAAGACACTGCAAAACAACCTTCTATCTGAATGTTGATTAGATAGCTGAGGAGTCATCATGGTGTCCCAAACTTTCATTACCAACAGAAATTCTCAATCAACCTTCAAAATGCCTCATCTCTTTAGAGTCATAAATATTCTTAAACTCAAAATTCTTAATGTTTATAAATTTTCCCTCTTACCAAAATCTTACAAGTTTTCACTGTAGTTGCCTTTAGCATCACTGAAGTTAAGGTAATTTCCTATAAAATAATTAAGGCTGTGTTATGTAATAGCAAGAACAAAGGAATACAATCTACGCGTCAGAATGCTGTCTACAGCAGTCATTCACCGTGTGTTCCTGGACAAGTCATCATCCGTGAGCCTTCTCCTTAAATTACACAGCTATATTACAAAGTTAGTCTATAATTAAGAACATTCTGACTTTCCTCATACAGTGACTAGGTGGGTAAGCTCCCAATGGCAGAGATGTGGATTTCTGACACCTTTAATAGTGCCTGGCACACTCTTGATTAACTTCTTTAAGTAACTGACATGATATCATTCTCCAAAATGAAAAATAGCTTAAGCAAGTACAGCAGAAAATATGAATGAAAAGGCTGACTCTTTTAAGTATTAACAATTTTTATATTTTGTCATAAAACATCAATTTAAACACAGGCCGTGTCTAAGGTATGTACTAGGTTGTAAACATGCTGGGAGAATTGATATGCTTGAAGAGAAGAGAGGAAGAGGGAATTAGGAAAAAACTGGTTAAGGTACTAAGACAAGTTGTTGGAATTGCAAAAGAATTCTCATTCTCATAGGAACAATATTCTATCTAAATGGTTGTGAGATTCCTAAACAATCACAAAACTCCACTTCATAGGTATGGCTTAAATGATTAAAAAAAAAAAATTAGCTTTAGTCGTTACTCCTGGTCATAGGAGGCCATAACAACAACCTGGATTCTCTGAAACTCACACCAGGTCACATGGTCCAATTAGGAATTTCTGTGTTGCTTCTAGGTATGAGAAATCAACTGAAAGAACCAAAATACTGAAATTCACAGGAATAATGGAACAGCATCTCAAAATAGGATGTTAAAAAACTGATAAAGCAAAACATTTACGCACTGATCAAAATTTGGCAGCACCTTCATGAATGTTTCTGGAAGTATTGAATTAGCTATTTACAAATCAAGAACTGTCAAAAGTTTATATATCAAGCAGTTCAAAACATTTTAAGGAGGTGACTGTCTAACTGTAGCAATCATTCTAGACTATGTTCATTGTTATCTGCATTCTTTGAGCAGTCCCAATTTCCAAAATTCTTTGTCATCATCAGACCCAATGTCCTAATTTTTAAAAACAGCTTACAGAGAATAGTCACCAGAATATTTACCCACTTTGACAAAAACTATAAAAACCAAACACAACTACTTAATCACTCTTTCTCATAACTATTGTAACGGAACAGTAATGCCCATTTTTATAAGCAACACCAACAATTCCTTTTTCACAACTGATTAGCACACTATGCCATGTGTTTGTAGCAGATATTAAATACACCCTTCAAAATGAACCATTTAAGTCAAGAGTATGTGTACTCTCCAAAGATAATAGAGTATTATTTGAGGATTTGTATAAAACAGAACTAACTACGTACATAGCACTAAAATAGTAATTATTTCTCAAACAAAAACATGACAAAATCCTTAGTACTAGAGAAAAAAATCTGTAAGTAGGTCCCCAAGAGAACCTAAGGGATCAAGAACTCAAGAACTTTGATTCTTTCTAACATTATGAATAACTCTACTCTTACTGTAATGGTAACATTAAGTATTACTGGTAAGTAAAGGTATAGTGGTAAAGAGGTTTAAATATTTCCACAACTGGTCCAGTGCCAAAGGCATCTGACTGCTAACCAGAAGGATGGCAGTTCAAACCCACCAGCCAGTCCCAGGAAGGAAGACTGGGCAATCTATTTCCGTAGAGATACCACCTTGGAAACCCAAGGAGGGGTTGCTAATGAGTCAAAACTGACTCGATGGCAGTGAGTTTTGTTTTGGTTTTTGGCCTTTTCAAATGTAGGACAATGTTTTCTATCCCCTCTTTCCCAAAAAGGAAGACACAACTCAGATATTAGTTTAAATTGGCTAGGCAAGAAAATGATTTTTAGGTTTTTTTGGGGGGTGGGGGTGGGGAATAAACATACTCGTTATATATCTGAGATTCTATAAACTATGAAAAGCCTTGAATTTTTTTTAACCAGGATGATACTAATAAGGAAAATTTTAATTGTAGATATGGAGAGACCTTACAATTCAACAAGTCTAATTTTTATACAAGTTAGAAAGGTGCTCATTTAGTTAAAATTCTCATACCATTATTATCTTCCTATTTACTTACAGAAATAACTTTTAAGAAAGTTAGTATTTTACTCACAGTGAAAAAGCTCCTCAACGCTTGAAAAACCTTGACTTCACTCACTAATTTAAAAAGCATGAAATTGAATACTTACTTTGACCAGACTCCACACTGGGGACCAAAATGAATAAGCATAGTCCCTAAATCAAAGTTATGGCTGGTGGGGAAGACTTTTACTATAAATAAGGTTGTTAGAAAAGCAGAGAGGTGGTGTACCTAAACCTAGTTTTGTGTGTGTGTGTGTGTGTGTGTGTGTGTGTGTGTGTTTTCCCCTGGGGGGGTGGAATGTGAGGGAAATGCTATTTGAACAAAGAGCTTTGAAGGATCCAAGATGGGTGGTAGGAGGATGAGTATTCTGAGAAAAGACGGAAACAAAAGAACTAAGATGGTTGGAGCACTGTAAGAGTTCTAGATTTATAAATGAACTTCACAGTGATCCAAAAAATTCTATGAAATGTAAATATGCACTTATGCATGTAATTCTGAGATAAATGTCTATCACTTTCACATCAAGTTATCAAGAGATGTGAATTCCCCCAAAGATTAAGAACCACTGCTATCGGTATCTTATAGAGCTACAGAAGTTAAGAGTAATCTGACTGGGTTAGCAGACCGAAAAGTTGGCTGTGGTAGCAATGTAGAGAACTAATATCAGGGGGCTAAGACTGGAGGTCATACCTGTAAGAAACAAGAGCCTTTTCTAGGAAAGAGAAGATGGTAATGGGGGTAAATGGGTAAAAGCTTGGAAAATATCTGCAAAGTAAAATCAACAGAATTTGGTGATTAACAAACTGTGGGAGGGAGGAAAGAGGAAAGAATCATGGAAGTCTTCAGGGTTCTACCATGGTGAACTAGATAACACCACCAACTTGTAGTGAATAGAAGACCACCCAGTCAGTTCACCCTTCTGAGGGTCAGAGTAGGAGAGAAGGTAACTTCAGTTTTAAGTGATACAAACTTCAAATAGCTCAGGTGCAGTCAACCCATGGAACATAACAAAATGCTAGTTTACTTTCCTACTCAGAACTAGTCCTTCCTCAAATGAAACAGCAGGAAAAAAACACATTTACAACACAAATATCAAAGTATGAAATAGTAAGAACACTTGAAAACATTAAAATCTCTACTATTTTCAGCATCAACTCACTGGAAAAATATATTAAAAGGATAAAAATATTCATTTCCATTTCCAAATTCAAAACTGTAAATTTAGAAAATATCAAATTATAGAATATGAGGACAAACAAAGCTACAGCCAATGTAACGCCAAATAAACACCTAGCAGTGGTATTGAAGAATTACCAAACAGGTGGTAGAGAAAGAAAGTCCCTTTTCTCCTTTGTAGTTTCCTAATCATCTCTATGATCTCCTTAAGTGATAGTATCCTCTCTTGCAGTATAAATACTATGACCAGAAAACCTAATTCTATAGATCTAGGGTGGAAATCTTCAGATGATTACAGTATCCAGCCAACTTATCAAAGATTTGCTTGCTCTCCTCAAAAACAAAATCCATATACACCCTAAAGGCAGGTATCACTAAACAGCATTAAATACGCATTTGATCATGATCCTCCTCTGCTTAAAACTGCTAAATAGTTGCCCCTTTGTAAACAGAATAAAATGCAATCTTTCTACCATTATAATAGATCCTTATGACCTGGTATATATCTACCAATTCATACTCGATTTATCTTGCTCAGCAACTTAACTATCAGTTTCTCTCATACACATCAAGCTACCTTTTTCATTTTACTGATAACTGCTGTCAACTGAATATCCTTTTCTTCACAGTCAACACCTATTTTTCTAATAAAATTTAAGTTCCAGAGCCAGTTCTATGAGCTTCTCCTAATGTTCTCAGGTAGAATTGATCACTCTCATCCTTCAATGTCTCCACAATACCCTGAAATATTCCTAACATAGTGCTTGTGTTATTTAATTGCCATGTCTGTTTCTCCTTATGAGACTACAAGCTTGTTGAGGGCAGAAAAAATGTTTTATTTATAGGTCTTTATTTCCAGGGTCTTGCATTTACCTTATTTAAGAGCAGAACACATACCACCAAAAATCGGAAAAGCACAAGGAAAGACTCAGTTCTTACTAAATCAAACACAATGATTAAAGATTAAATGTTGAGCTGATATTAAATAATAACAAAATGTTAACTTCATGGGTCACACAGGCTCATCTTTGTTTCATATAAATTCCTCCAACTTCATGAAAGGTCTTTCAAACTTTCTTCCTTATTTGTTAAAAGCAAAAACAACAACAAACATGTTGGGCCTTATTTTTGCCAAACACAGGCAGAACCAGCCTTGCCTTCTCTGCTCCAAATGCTGGCATTAGCATATTCCTCAATCAGATTGCTGGTGTGAATTCAGTATTTACCTTCTGGAAAAGTAACTTAGAGAACACACTCATGGGCATGTCTCAGGCTTAGAAAACTGCTGACTTGACAGAACGTATAACTTAGACTATGAAAATTTCAGAACTGGGTAAGGTGTTAATCACTGTTACTAAAAGCACTTTTAAAGTCTTCTGGGCCAAATGGTCAAATCCTGAATGAGCTAATCACTGAATGGCACTCTGGGAGATAGTTATTATTGAAAATAAAAACTATGTCTTATCACTCACAGCCTTATAAAGAATACAAGGATAGCTATAAAATATAAAACTCAGAACACAGACTCAGCATAGCCTATTTAAAAAGACTTTGCCCATGCATTTAACAATCAAGTCCAAGTAACAGAAGAGTATCAAACCATCAAAGGATTACTGATAAAGAACATTTCTTAAAGAAAACAAAGAAAAGCAACCCTAACATCAAAATTTGGCCTAATTGAGTCAGATCTGACTCATAGCGACCCCTCTTTGGGTTTCCGAGGTGGCTGGTGGGTTTGAACCACCAGTCTTCTGGTTAGCAGTCAAATGCCTTAGGCACTATGCCAACAGAGCCCCTTATTAGAGAACGGGCCTCTCTTTAAAAGGAAAAAAAAAAAAAAAAATCTGGAGAAAACAAAGGTTCGTGAATTATCCCTAGCCTCAAATGAATTGCTGTCTGAGGAATTCAGAACTACTATTTCAATGTTTTAAACACAGAAGAAAGCTAATGCAAGATACTCTTTGGAGAAAACAAAGGTTCGTGAATTATCCCTAGCCTCAAATGAATTGCTGTCTGAGGAATTCAGAACTATTATTTCAATGTTTTAAACACAGAAGAAAGCTAATGCAAGATACTCTTTGTGAAGCTAAGAAATATTACACACACACCAAAAAAAAAAAAAAAAAATCTCACAATGTTCAAAGAACCTGATGGCGAAAGTCTCTGAAGGTATAGACGTAAGAATTAGTCTGTTTGCTAGACTTGAGTGATTTCCTAAGAGAAAGTGTTTTTCATGCTGACAAAAGTGTTGAGTTGGACATGAGGAACCAGGCACAAAAAACACACTTTTCACAGAAAATAGATGATGATAATAAAGACCATAATTTGTGAATACATTTAGACATTATATCCTTACAGAAATCTTGTATTTTATCTGAGGAAACTAGAAATTAACTAATTTGTCTAAGGTCACACGACCTGTGACAAAGTAGAGGATTAGGGTCCAGGTTCACCTGATCTTAAGCCTAAGAATGCTCTTAACTGACTGTGTTACACTGCCTCCTACAGGTAATCAAAGGCCGAAGTACAGCAACAATAGAACAAAACTTTCACCATAGGAAGAGGACACTCCATGAACCTGTTGCTAACAGTAAAACAAAAGAGATTTCCAGGTAGTACTTGGAATCAAAAATACCAAGATACTCCTCAAACTAAGGTTAGTTAGAATGAAACTACGAAGATTACTCTAAGGGATAAGAATATAGAATGGAAGCACCCAAAATAATCCCATCAAGGGGACCAGTATTTAGCTTTAGAATGGCTAAACTGAATTATCCTGTCCAGTGAAAGAAATACCCTAAAAGAAAGGAGCTGGCTTGCAGACATAGGTGAAAATGGGAGGGGAGGATTATTTCAGAAAAAGTTTTTAAGAATGAATGCCTTGATCTAGACTTACATCCAGGGGAGGATATACCCCGCTAATAAATCTACCGTAAGATTTTCTAATTAATTCCCCTTCCTCTGTTTACAGGTTCTGGTGCTGAGCCCTGATGACACATGGTTAAGTGCTCGGTCGCAAACCGAAATGTTGGCAGTTCAAAGCCACCAGCTGCACTATGCGAGAAAGATGTGGCAGTGTGCTTCCATAAAGATTACAACCTTGGAAACCTCATGGAATATTTCTACCCCATTCTGCAATGTTACTATGAGTTAAAATTGAAGGCAGCGGTTCTTTTTTTTAAGTCTTGGTGGCTCTGTGGCTGCTAACTAAAAGGTCCCCCCAACAGAACCAACCAGCAGCACCATGGGAGAAAGATATGGCAGTCTCCTTCTGTAAAGATTTATAGCCTTGGAAATCCTGTGGGGGTACTTCTACCCTGTCCTATAGGGTTGCTATGAGGCTGAATCAATTGGATGGCAACGGATTTAAGCAGCTATCCAATTATAATGTGCATTCCCATTCAGATTTGCCTCTAGGGAGAGACTACTTTGATAGAAGTAGTAACTGGCCCACTGTAGATTAAGAAAATTCATCCTAAACGTCTTTGAAAATTTCTTCTAAACAACCAACCTATCATTATTTGGAAAGTAAGTTTTAATTTCCTAAGTCCCCTCCCACTTCAACCATCTTACTGAATAATTTCAGAAATAAATCATTAAAGACTCTGATTCCTCTTCTGTAAGATGGAAATAAAAGTAAGTCTCTTACAGAGTAAAGTAAATGTGTGTTTAACACATGAAAAGACAAGGAAATGTAAGTTCTATTTTACTCAATTGCCCAAGCTCACAAAGCTAGTAATTGCAGAAAGCTGAGACCTGAATGCAGATTTACTCCAAAACCCATTCTTTTTCCATTACAACATTCCCCATAGACTCTAGTCTTAGTTGTCACCAAGGACTTTTAAGACTTTGGACACTTTACTTAACCTTTCTGTGCCTTCCATCTTTACATGACCTCCCTTCTAGGATTTAGGCAACTAAAATCTGTGCAAAAAACGGTTGCATTGTCCGCTCGTTAAAGTAAAACCCTGTGCTTTAAAGTTAAAGCCTTAAACTTCTGACGGATTTCTATGCTAAAAGCCACTGGATGGTGCCTAATTAACTCCAATATAAATTTCCTGAATGGCAACATCACTCAATAAATAGAACACGGAAGGACTAATATCTGAGACTTGACTTTCTAAAATCAATGACTGGATACCAAAACAAAGAATGAATTCCACTCACCACCTCAGGTGATCTAAAAGCACTGATCAAGATCTACAGGGTTTGAAGAGGGTTATCAAAATCGTCAGGCTACTTACTAACTTTAGACTGGAAATGTTAAAACAAGGACTAAGAACAACTTACTTGTTTTGTAACTAAGGACTTAGGATTTTAGGTACTTTGGTAAATAAATTCTTTACCAGTTTAAATCAATTATTTGATACAAATAACTTCACATTAATCCTAAATTTAACGAACTTAATGCAAACTGCATTTATAAGCAACTTTTTGAAAATAAAAGGTCAACACAAATCTGGGTAGAAACAAACGAATAAAAACTAGAATACTTTTCTCAAAGCAAGCCTTTCTCCCCTCTTCCAAGAAGTTCAACAGAAATAAATTTCATAAAATCATTCGCAAGAGAAAGAAGTGTTATCCAAAATAGCTTCTCCTACATCTATATATTCTCTCTCATTTCACATTATCTTGACCTGATATAAAGAATTTTCTGGTTGGATGTTTCCCTGAAAGGCGTAGCGTCAAAAATTTAGGCATAGTGTTTAATTCATTCTTCAAAGAGTGGCCAGGTTTGACTTTCACCAGCACACAATTTTAAAGAGCTAGGAACATAAGGCAGCTTCTCTTTTTAAAATCACAGCTAATAAATTTTTTTTTTTTTACAGCAAAGTCAATCTTTTAGACTAATAACTTCCACCTCAGTTTCTTAAACTTTCTATGCAACCTCATGAGACAGCAAAGAAATCTGTGCCACAAAAAAAAAAAATAAGAGAAACTCTGCCCCATGATTAGAAAATTGTCATCTCCCCCACCAACCACCACACACACAAACTTTTGAAAACTTGTTCCCAGGCTTTCCAACCCCCCACGCATAACGTCCAAGCATCGCTCTCTTCGGAACCATGCCTTTACTCACGAAAACGGTTTAGCTGATAAGCCTTTCCCGAAGAAATCTGAAAAAGAGCAGGATATACTGTACCTGGGCGTTGGCTTTGTGCTCGGTAGAGACGTGGTGCCTCAGGAGCAGGGTTTTCTTGTAGTTGCGGGTCCCTCGCGAAAGCTCATCATGCCCTACTTGAGGAAGGTCCCCGCTTCCCCCGTCCTCAGGGGTCTTTTGGCACCAGCCGCAAGACATAAGGCCAGTGTCCTTGGAATACCGCAGCCAGGGAAAATCTTTGAGCCAGGAGCTCTGGAAGGAGCAGTGCAGCTTCTGCATCAGGGACTTGGGTCGCGCAAGTGGGAAGTGCTGGACAGTCTCTCCTTCACCAGCTCCCACACCGCTGCCCTCCACTTCGTCCCCGCCATCGCCGCCCGACCGCCTGCTGCTACCGCAGCTGCCGCCTTCCGCCCCGCTGCCGTCGCCCAGGCTCGCCCCCTCCTCCTCGTCTTCGGTGCTGTCGCTCAGGGACGCGCCGTCCTGCATCAACTCCTTCCCCTCCAGAGCGTCCAGCTCCAGATCCACAGCCGCCGGCCCTCGCCCATTGAAATGCCTCAGGGGCCACGCCGAGGTCTCGGGGCGGCCGCGGCTACTACCATTGTTGCCGAGACCCCCGCCGCCTCCTCGGAAGGCCAGAGTCCGACGGTTCCTTTCCGCTAGCAAAGGGCCCCCCGCGCCACCGCCGCCCAGCGAGGTGGGGCCACCCGCGTCTTGGGGGAGCAACAACTCCTTGGTTTCCTCGGCGGCAGCGGCGGCCGCCCCAGCGGAGGCCTCCAGGTCTTGGGGCTCCAGGCCCTCCAATTCCACTTCCTCGTCGGCCCCCCGCCCATTGAGCTGCTCAGGCGCTGGCTGCTGGGGCTGTCGCGGCGGGGG